TAGGTAGATGTTAAAAATTACAACTTTAACCGTAGCAGCACCTTGTTAACTTGTGGTCTCTCTGTATTATTGTAGATTTATTTACAACGCAATAAAAGAGAGAGGGTTTGTAGTTAATTTTATGTAGGTGGGCTCTAGCTAGGTTACAGCAAATCTTGAATTAGGGTTTAAGAAATTTAGGGAGAGTGGAGAAAGAAAGAGAAAGAGAATATTAATTAATTAATAAGGACATGAGTTTGACTTGTGCATTTGAGGGTATTAAAATGAACAAGGTAGCAAATGTTCCTTGAATTCAAAATCTTAACCATCAAATCAAGATCCAAAGATCAAAGGTTGTTGGTCAGGAAAATAAGGAACGGCTATATATATATATATATATAGTTGATGGGAATTTTGATGGCCTAAAGCTAAAAGAAAAGATGGGACAGCAAAGTATTTTCAGTCATCCTCTCTACTTAGATTACATGTCCGAACAAGAAAGGGTGCAATGTTGGTTAAAATTTTTTTTCAGAGTCAAAATGTCAAGTCTGCATTGGCTGGGGGAACCTTGGAAATGGTCAAGGGTTTTTAGAGGTCGCGTAGAATTTTATGTATATAATTTGACACAAGTTTTTACATAGTCATAATAATCTTTCCCGTCAAAAGTTTTAGTTAATTATTTTTTTATTATTATTATTTTTATTTTTTTTTTGGTTTTACATCTTTTATAACTATTGATTATTTTGTAATGATTGATTTAATTAAACTATTTTTTTTCATCTTTTATAACTTATTGATTATTTTGTAATGATTGATTTAATTAAACTATTTTTTTTTAACAGAACTTTTAATCCTAGCGATCCTTCATTCATTTCGCGATAGAAAGTATTAATAGTATATAAACAGTACAAATTAAATTATTGAATGAATGTTGACTACTATTAAAATATTATTTAATTTTAATTCAATTTTTTATCTTTTTTATATTTTATTAAATAAAATAGTTTAACATTTAATTTATACGAAAATTCTACAATCCATCCATATATAATATTGTTGGAGTTCTATTCACTATTAAGAATATAAAAATTTAAGATATACAAGGCAAGAATTCAATTTCGGTCTGTTTATTTGTCTAAAATCTATTTTTTGTACACTAATTTTACCCTTATAAAAAAAAGTCTGTTATATTCCAATTTGTATTATTTTTTGGACATTAATCCCAAAATAGGATATTTTTTATGATTAATGTCTCAATCTACCTGGTTGAGTGGTCGATCGGACCTCCAACAGCTACAAGGGCCGCCGATGATCTCCCCAAAGGATCAGTCATCGAGATCATTGGCGTCTGGACTAACCTCTAGAAGCCCAGCGCACGCGCGGTGTACCTGCTCCTAATGGACGTTTGGAGACCCAAGCCTCGTTGAAGGTGGGCCCAAAATTCTCATGTAATCTTCATTCGCCATGGCTATGGTGTTTTGATGGCCTTTTTATCAAAGGTAACGACGCCAAAATGTTGCACAAACGACCTCAACCAGCTCGAACGACCTTGGATACGCTCTCGACTGGTTGAAAGACCTGCAAAATAGCACCAAGAATGGTCCTGTCATAAAAACTCTGACGATCAAGTCAGTAGGTGTATGAGGAAGACGATGAACAGTATGTATCACTTGTAAGTATATAATAATGTATAGAGCGTAAATGATCATATCTCACCCCTTTACATAGGAGTGTCACCTTGTTGCCCACGACTACCAGTGTGCCCCAATTGTCCAGTTTTGTTAAGCCACGTGGTCCTACACATGTGTGGTTAATATTTTTGGGCATGTGGTAACCGAGTTACCCGACTCGGGTCGTTCTCAAAGGAAGACTGTTCGAAGCTTCGTTTACTATCTAGTTGTCAAATTCACAAAACCGAAAATAAAATCCTAAACATTATAACGAGATAATTGGGAATGATTGAACTAAAATAAACTAACATCTACGAGAAAATAATTAAAATGCAATAAACGAAAGAAAAATCGAAACTTGGTTATACGGAGTCCACATAACTTGACTAAAATAAAAATGGCGAAAAAGAAAATACACGAGCCTAGCGATCCTAAGTGTTCAAACACGAACCTTCCCTAGATCGTCCCACTTTTACCAAAGTCGAGACCTCTACATTGGATAAATTCGTATCGAACCTTAACACACTTAGACGAACAAAAAAAACACAAAACAAAATCTAAACACGATCCAACACATCGATTCAATCAATTCAAACTCGAAATAATAAGCCCTAAACTAGGTACCTATTTTCCTATCGCAAGATTGAATGAACATAATGTATAGAACGAATTTTAGATAAACACAACATAAACGAAACGTTACCGGAAAAATCGCCGGAAAATGTCAAGTTCGTGCCTCCAACCGAGCTTTCAACTTACAAACAAAAATACATAAATTGAAAGAGAAAAAAAAAAGAAAAATAAAAAGAAGAAAAATGAAGAAGAAGGAAGAAGAAGAACCGAAGAAGAAGAAGGAAAGAAGATGAATGAAGAAGATGAACAAAAACCGGAAGAAAACAAAACCAAAAGGGAGGAATCTTGATCCCTAATTTCTGCTCGACTTTTGACGTGGAATCGCAACTCCTTTTCAGGTGGCCACGGCGCGGCGCTGCAGCACGGCGGGAAAGAAGGCTCTGCACAGCGTGAAAGAAGCTCCCGGCGTGAAGGAGAGACAGCGGCGTGGAGAGTGCTGGCTCGCGGCGTGGCGTCCCTCGCGGCGTGGAGGAAGAAGGTCTAAGCTCTGAAGGTGTCTCGCGGCGTTAAGATGGCGTGGAGGGTAGTCTTTCACGCCCTGGAAGGCCTTTCGCGCCGCGGAGGAAGGCCTTTCGCGCCGCGGAGAGTTGCCACGCCGCGGCTGCTGGGCAGCTTGCTCAGCTTCACATTTCGGGGTCGTTTGGGCTCGTCCGAACTCGGAATTGAGTTCCGTTTTTTCCTATTAATCCCTCTTTTCAATGATGCATTCAAAATCAACTTTTACCCTGAGTACAATCCTCTAGAGTCTTCCAATCTTCAAAGGATCGGTAATTTGCTAGACTTTACGTTTCGGCTTTGTCCGGATTCATCCGAACTCGAAATCGAGCTCCGCTTTTTCCTATGTGTAGCCAACGCACCTATCTACACAACCATGCTTTCCTCGTCTAAATCTAATCCTCACGGGACCTCTGACCTGCACACCAAAACAAGAAGAAAACGGGAAAAACACACGAAAAACATAAAGAGAACCAAAATGGAACAAAACACACAATAAACTATAAAACGAACGAAAAACCAACTAAAATACCTATAGACGAGATAAAAAGACTAACCAAATGATACCAAAAATCACAACAAAAACAAGACAAACAGAGGAAGACGATGAACAGTATGTATCACTTGTAAGTATATAATAATGTGTAGAGCGTAAATGATCATATCTCACCCCTTTACATAGGAGTGTCACCTTGTTGCCCACGACTACCAGCGTGCCCCAATTGTCCAGTTTTGTTAAGCCACGTGGTCCTACACATGTGTGGTTAATATCCTAATAATATTCTTTCTTATCTCTTATGTGATATGTTCACATTAGCCTACCTCATTAGGTGGTCTATTTGTGCGACCAGCTCAGCTTCCCTTGAACCAAGTTACTTTGATCTTTAGTGTATAAGATTTATCCTTTAGGTCGAGTTTCTATTTACCTGTCTGCTCTAGGTCGAGTTTCTATCAGGCTAGTCAAGAACCCTGGCTCGACCTGATGGTGAGCTCCCTTACCAACTAGGTTTAAGTGACCTCACCAACAGAAACTCGACATGTTGGTGAGCTTACCAACTAGGACGAGCTAGAGCTCTCGGCCAGCATAATAGAAACCTGACCTGGAGGCAGGCAGGTTGATAGAAACTCGACCTAAAGCTTATACGCATCGCACAATTAGACCGTCTAATGAGGTAGGTTAATGTAAACACATCACATAAAAGATAAAAATGAATATTATTAGGATAAGAACCACACGGGTATAGGACCATGTGGCCTAACATAATCGGGCAGTTTGGGCAACCCAGGCAGTATGAATAGGTAGCTCGGGCAATCAGGCAGCCCAGTCGCGCAATCTTGTGCAACAAGGTAACACTCTTATATAAAGGGGTGATGTATGATCATTTACACTCTACACACTCTTATATACTTACAAGCAATACATACATAGTGTTCAACGTCTTTTTCATACAGGTACTGACTTGATCGTCTGAGTTTCTACATCGGCACCACTCTCGGCACTAGTCGAGAGAGGATCCAAGGTCGTTCGAGCTGGTTGAGGTCATTTGCACACCAATTATAAATTATACAAAAATAAAATTATTTTATTGTGGATAAAAATTACCAAATTTATTAGCATTAAAATAATATACAAAACATTCCTTTTAAATTAAGTGACATTTTATAATATTTATTGTAATTTTTTAACTTCACTATCACTTATTTATGAATCAAATTAATATATTGTAATAAGGTATGAGTAATAAAATTGAGAAAGAAGTATATTTTTGTGTATTATTTATCAATAATATTTTTAAGATATGTTAACTTTTCATGTTCATTAATTCTAAACAGAAAATCTAAAATAACAACTA